AGTGGCAAATTGGCCCTATCTGTCACCCCCTCCGTTCATATGGAAGGCTGCCACATTGCTGTCAGTCCACAGGAGGCCCAGCATTCTAGTAGGACACTGAGACTTGTCATTCTCTTCCTCCTTCCCATGCCTCCCCCATTCTGCTCTGAGCCTTCTAGTATGGAGCCCCCGAGAACATCTGCTGCTGGCAGAAGATCTTCACTTAGGTCTTAGCAGTGATGTCACCAAGGGACTGGGACTGTTGACAACTTAACACTGCCTGCTTGTCACCTCAGGAATCTTTACTTCAGACAGTCAGTCAGGTCCTGTTCCTGACTGTGACTGGACTGCTTTGTCAGAGGCTTATTTCACTAAGTGCTAAAATCTAAATACATTGGAAAGAAATAACAACAACAAAGGTGGAAAGGACAGAGTTGGCCTGGATGATCTCTAAGACCTGTATGTAAAACAATCAAAATGAGTGCTTTTGTCTCTGGGCCACCTTCACAATGCTGTGCTCTCTGCCTGGACCATTCTCCCACTCCTCACAGGCTGGTCCTTTTCCTCTTGTCACATCCCATGGGAAGTCTTCTCCCCCACCCCAACCCAGAACCCACTGTTGGCCCTCATAGCTCAATCTGCTTTTGAACCCTGATGATTGCTTTTGCTAATTATCCCATATTTTAGCATAATACCTGGAACATGTCGGTATTTCCATATTTGTGTCATGAATAAACTACATATAGTAGCTACTCTACAAAAAAATAAAAAATAAAAAAACAGCCATTCATAATGTTACTCTAATTAGGCAGCTTGAATGATGTTTTCACTGAATTGACTACCTGCTTGACTGAATTAGCTGGTTATTTTTGCATAACTTTTATATTTGTCAAGTTGCCCAGGCCTAGATAAATATAAACTGTCTTAGCCTAATGGAAGTATATTCTGCTGTTTTAAAAAAAATCTTTTGGCAAAGCAAATAGAAACTATCCTTTGGTAATTTATTTTGTTCCATATTTGTTCTGTTTTAGAGGATTACTCTCTGTTCATTGGCCACAGACTATTTACTAGACTAAGTTATTGAACTAGGTTATTGGGCCCGGCAGATAGCTCAGTGTCATAAGCGCCTGCCTTGCATACTCAAGGTTCTGAGTTTCATCCGCAGCACTGCAAAACAATGATAAAAAAATGATAGTAATGATAACAATAATAATCATAAACTCGGTCATTATATTTGGTTTTATTAATTCATTTTTTCTGGTAATATGCAAAACTCATTGTATCATCAGAAATTTAGAATATGAATGAAATTCTAGAGACACTTAAAAGGATTCATAAGCCACACTTTTCTTTCTTTCTTTCTTTCTTTCTTTCTTTCTTTCTTTCTTTCTTTCTTTCTTTCTTTCTTTTTTAATTTTTTAGGGAAGGGTTTGCTGGGTGTTTGCACTCATAGTGATTCACTTGTTTACAGCCTCCCAAGAGCTGGGATCACTCCAGCCCCTGTGCCTGCTTGCAGGTGCCTTAATCCACTGAGCTATTTGGCTGGCCCTAAGCCACACTTTTCAATTTGTTTTATAATATCATACTTATTTATTTTTGCTTTTTAAATTTAGTCAGGCAAAAAAGCTTTGGAAATATTCTAAGACTTTTTGAAAAGTCTTAAAACTTTTGAAAAATAACAGATATTTTGGGGGAATCACTGTAGCTGAAAATAGGATTTGTGTTCTTATAGTTTTCATGTAAGTAACTGCTTTGTTAAAGTAAGGGTTTCCAGAAGAGACATGGCTAAGTAGGTGGCAGGAGCGAGGCTTTCTGGAGTGGGCCTGCTACCTTAGGCCATGTCAGCAAGTACCCAACAGAGGGACTGTAGTTTGCATAGAAGTTCCTGGTACAGAGCCCTGAAATCCTTGCTTCCAGCTTTTCTTGAGAAGGCTGTGTCCTCCATCAGACTGTACCTACTCAGACTACTTTCTTAACATTTCCTGTTCACTGGACTACTGGTTCTCTGCAATCATGTTACCTCCAGTATTTATTACACTTCTCAGTAATAGCTAAAAGCTAGGTAGGTGTCCAAAAATGTGTAGCAGGTCCATAAAGCAAACAGCCCCAGGAAGCAAGCCTAATGCTTTACTCTAAAGAAAGAGAAATTTTGACAATGGAATAAATAGATTCTCTTAACAACATACTGTGTAACCATGCTGATTAACATGAACTTTCACAGAGGAATTTTATGAGGCTATACTTTACTAAAGATGCTACTGCTGGTCCAAAGCCAGACATATTTAAATCTGGACACGGTGGTGCACATCTGTAATACTGAACTCGAGGAGGCTGACCTAGATGCACTGCAAATCTGAGCCCAACCTGGGAAATGTAATGATTAATAGAGGGAAACTGTCTCAAAATAAAAAATAGAAAATGGTTGGATAGAGCTCAGTATGAAGGTCTTTGATTCAATACCCAGCACTGAAAGAAAAAAAGAGAGAAAGTACCTGCATATTTAAAGTGCAAACGTATTTAAACTCTAAAATTATATACTGATAGTAACAAAATTAGAAAAACAAATTTTTAATGTATTTAGTACAAGGTCTACAGGGTCTTACTACATAGATCAGATTCGCAGTGATCCTTCTGTTTTCAGCCTCCCAAGTGCTGGGATTACAGGTGAGCACCAACACGCCCAGTCTCAATCACCATCTCAGTGTAGCCTGGGGGTGAGGCTGGCACAGCGTGTTGGGGATTGAACCCAGGAACCTTCATCTGCCTAAGCAGGCACTTTCATCTGCTAAGCTATCTGGCCAGCCCAGAAAAATAATTTTTAAAATGTTAAGAATAAAAAAAATTGAGCCAGGGAGATGGCTCAGTTTTGGAAAAAGTGCTTTCCTGGCAAGTGCAAGGGCCTGAGTTCAATCCCTGGTTCCGCCAAAAAAAAAAAAAAATAATAAATAAATAAATAAAAATAAAAAAAAATGAACTGCATCAAAATTCCTATTTCACAGTAGTACCATGCTATAGAGAACATTCAGCTATTTTATTCGTAGTTATGAATAGGTGTTGGGTATTAAAAAATGATTCTACCTTCCATACCTTTTTTGGAGGCAGGGTTTCAATTGTAGTTCTGGATGACCTTGACTCATGTGACCCTGATTCACTATAGTGGCCTCTACTCTTGTGTTCTCCTGTCTCAGTTTCCTGGGTTACAAGTGTATACTAACATGCCAGGCTAAAAAAACGACACTGTGAAAAAAAATGTAAAAAATGATACTGTTTACAGAAGAAAGATGGGGTGACCAGGAAATGCACTGGAAAGACAGTGGTGTATGACCTGAAGGAACTATAGAATATATATAGCTAAGTAAAAAGGTTCCTGCATCTTCAAGTGGTTATTCTGACAAAGAATGGGAAGGGGGATGTGCTACTATTCTGTCAGTTTTCTGAGAAGCAACCCACTGTAGTATTTAAATACATGAACTTGGGAGCCAGACTGATTTGGATTGAACGGTGGCTGTTTAACTTACTACATAATTGGCTTTCTTTCTTTCTTTCTTTCTTTCTTTCTTTCTTTCTTTCTTTCTTTCTTTCTTTCTTTCTTTCTTTCTTTCTTTCTTTCTTTCTGTGGCTGGCTTAGCCCACCCTGTGGGTGGGGCTGGCGCAGCATGTGGTGCTGGGGATCGAACTGCAGTCCTTGTACACTTGCCTAAGCAGGCACTTTAGACTGCTGAGCTATCTCGTTGGCCCCTACATAAGTGACTTTAGACTTGTTCATTTCTTGGGTACTTCAGGATTCTCAGCTCTAGTGGGATGAATAATGGTAGCTAACTCTTTGGTTATTTGAAGACTATATGAATTAATTTTTAAAATAATTAAGTAAATGCTTGACACAAAGTATACTGCCAGGAGACATTAAATATTGGTAATATGAGTGTCTATATATGCATAAATTAGGGGGCCTGCCCCGTAGCTCAGTTCTTTAAGTGGCTGCTTCAACAAAGCAGTCAGGCTCCGGTTGCTTTGGTTCGATCCCCACAACACAAGACAGCCAGTCATGCCTTGA